GGATAAAGGGGCGTGTCAAAAGCGGATGGGTTTGACGCGACCAAGTGACAAGACCAGCATATCGTTCATATCAGTCGTTTTCCATTAGATGTTGTTGCTAAGCCGCTTCAGCAACTGCTGGAGAAAGGGCTGACGACGCGCCAAAGCCAACCTTACAGACCGCCACGTCATCCGCAGCTAACAAGACTCTACCATAATACAAGTTCGTACGTATCCACTATTTCACCACAATGCAAATCCATATGTGTTTACAATTTGAAGCTAAAATAAAATGAATCAAGTATTCCAGAGAGCTTGATTAACACTAAGCGCTAGTGACTACAGTACGGCTGTAGCCCTCATTCATTAAGCCGAAGTACTAGTGATGATGAGCAAATGCTCACTATGATGCTCATTACACGGGCTGAAGAAGTCTTCCTCCAGCTCATGTAATGAGAGCTTTTCTCCTAGAGACAGTATAAGAGTCAGCCCACGATCGTAAGGGGGCTCAGCCAGACATGACAATCTCTGAAAACTGCTTACACTAAATTGTAAGCTATTACTGTAATGCCTCAAAAAAGGCGGACAAAGGTGGGATGGAGCAGCATCCCAAGTGAAGTCGATGAAACATGATGTTGATGTGATGAATACAGCGTTGTGTTTGTCCCCATCATGGACCATATGTAACCGCTGGGAGGGAAGAGAGTCGCACATGCGATTGGAGAAGCTTGTGGTTGTTAATTCTCCCCGTTTCTTCCTCCCCCACTCCCCAGTCAGGGCGTGATTTTACTATTTGTGATAGCTGATTAGAAATGAGCTCCTTCCGAACAACACAGAAACACTGAAAGCTCAGAAACAGTGAAACATCGACCAACCCGTCCTGATGAGCTAAAGCTAAATTAGCACAAAAGTTAGATCGTGACCCTTGCAACCTTACAGAGGAGGCTAAAAAAAGGTACTTTTCTGCCTCGACTCTTAGGGCCATATAAGTTACACTTTTAAATTCTGATCGGCCATTTTCATCATCATATTTGAAAACACATTGTAGTACACGATCACGAAACTCCGCAACAGCCTTCTGAGCGAGCACCATCGAGAGACTGCCACGCGACTGTGATTTGGTGCCAAAGTTCAGCGAGGTCGTAGATTTCTCCGCCACTGTGGACCACCTGTATGGTCCTCCCGGACCTGGTAATCGAGGGGGCTTAAGGCAGATGACACACTTGATACTCCGTCTTTTTCAGGTTCTCAACGCCCTTCATTCCAAGTAGGCGAGAGTTTTTCCAACGCCCTTCGATTCCATGTGCTGGCACCCAATCCTGTAGCAGTACGAAGTTTCCAAGAAGGTACAGGCGACGACATGAAGGCAGGATATTCTCCTCGAGCTGTTTGATGTAATCGTCAGCGTTCACTTCCAGTCCGGGGTCCACGAAGAAAATATCGGTCCTCCCATCAAAGAAACTTCCAGGTCATGTCACCAACTCGCCCCTTGACGACTGCGGTGAAGATGATATCCTGGACCGTAGCGACGTTGTCGGAGCTGCTCGATGTTGGAGGTCTTCCAGATCAAGAGTGCTGGTCTCCAGGTAGCTGTCCATGGGTGACTCCATACAAGAAGTTTCGCAGCTGTTTGGAGGTGACGTGAATTCCAAAGGTCTTCTCCAGTCAGGCTGCGACTGGAGATGACTTCATATTTTGGTGTACATGAAGGTGATGGCGAGAGCCTGCTCCTGCTTATCGAGGAACATCTTGGGTATCTTCCGCCCTGGTACTCGTATCCACGTCTTCTGTCTGGGCTGCGAAAACTTTACTGATATGTGACTCGGCCAAAGTCTTTTTTTTTGCCTCCCCCCCCCCCCTCCCTATATGCTCAAATGAAGTACTGTCTGGAACCAGGCGATAAATGCACAAATTCGACATGCTAGCAGGTACATGTTGATCATAATAAGGAGTTTCCATTATATCACGAAGAAACCAAGCCAAACCGTGCTTCACGTCAAAACCTAAAGCCCATCCGTGCAAATATCAGGATGTCGCATTTTGGGGAATGTTTCTCAACGTCATACATGCTCTGTTTGAGAGGCTCTGAGTAGAGCTGCCAGAACCAGTCTGTGTTTAACCTCATGAAACGCTACAGTATCCACCCTTTTGGGGCATCTGTGGGCCTCCTAAATCACACTGGCTTGCGATTATTATTGGTGACCCCTTCTATAGACGTCTTGATGACTGTTAACGCTGCTTTAAAGGTGTCACACTTATCACATTTAGTCAGCGGCTTCTTGAAACAGCGAACCTGAGACATATATCAAGCGCTCCCTTCTATGATCTCCTTTGGCGCTTCGTCAAACGAGGGAAACTTGGAAAATAGAAGGAACTGAAAAATAAAAAAAAAGAAAGGAGGACTCGTGTGACGTTTTGCACCCATCACGGAGCTATGGTGACCGGATACGCTTTTGTATCACCATTGAATGAAAGTGAGTGTTATAGCAAGTTTATTAATTCTTAAACGCACTCTCTATAAGGCTAATAGCACATCAGGCGAGCTTTTGCTGAGTTAAACTAGTTAAACTACAATACTTCGATGGGTCGCTCACCCTCTGCCTTTATTCGAATCTCTCGCCTTTGGCGTGATCTAACTACGACTCTGGCATTTTGATGAGCAGAAATTTGAATGATTGTAAAAATCAACTGAGTGAATCTCCATCAGCTACCTATAAAATTTATATCAATAAGTATCGGAGAATTGGGGCTTCAAAAAGCACAAAGTGCAGCTGCGGGAAAAAAAACTCGAAAAATCAGATTTCCCATCAAGCCTCAGAACTATTTGGAACACGATCTTGTGGCTTGTTCCGAGTTTTCTTTTCCGCAGCTCTAGCTGTTTCCTTGTGATTTGTCGACTAATTTCTACACCGCCCATGTATGATGCATAACACTGTAGCATACCCTGGACATTACAACCAACTGCGAGATGCAAATAAGAAATTCTAAGTCATATTCTTCGCATAAACGTAAATCAAGGGATGGATGAAAATGCTGTTTCGGTACTCTCCTTTGAAATTCTCCATTCCTTCTCTGAAATTTTTCGTAACCTGTCTATCGTTTCATCGAAACCTCCCAAAACTTCGCAGTAGAAGAGGGACAGACATCACTACTTAGGTAGTAGAAATGTAATTCCGCCGCGTCTCTAACCAGAGGTTATGTAGTGCGCGCGAAAAATTAACAAAAAAAACTTTCTTGGGACTGAATACGTCTCCCACGCGTCAGTAAACAACTATGCTCCCCTGCCATACTTAGATTTGCACAGCGATGATATCAATCGCAGAGAAGCGCTAGGCGTGCTCACGAAAAACTTTTGAATCGCCGCATACTCTTTCAAAGACAGTTCCAGCGATTTGTAAGTGGTCCGCGAAATGCCTCCGTGCATTTGGTATCGTCGTCACCATTCGCAGAGAATGTACCACTTTAACACTCGCAACGGCGATAAAGAAGCTAGAGACGCGTGATTATTGCGACCACGATTACTTTCACTCTGCAAGACAACGGCTTACAAGCGAATTGCGTGCGTACATAGCGTTGCCTGGAGCGTCGTAAGGTGATTTCCTGTGCTCTTACACGGAATGGGCTGCTCGCTCTAATTGCAGACGTCCGAAAAACTCGTCCAACGCGCCCCCACTGCTAAGTGGGTTTCAGTCGAGGGTGTTGAGGGTGTTCCCAAGGTTTTTCAATTCTTCCTCCACTGGGGAGTTAGTTATGGGCCACTGATTCATGACTGTGCTCCTACTACCCATAACACGTGATCGCGGGAATTGTCTCCAAATGAGGTACGCTGTCACCCACTGCGTGTCAAGGAATTTGGAGAATAAAATTTTTCCCCACACCCTGTTTCTCATCTCTTTTTAGCGGGTACTACCTAGTATATATTTTCCGACTCTCTGATCCATAAATATGGCTTTCGGGCAAGAGGTCCATCCGGTGGAGAGGTCACGTATGAGTTGATCGCTAGATACAGACGCCAGTGCACATGTAACAGAGACGCACTGATGACTGCAGAACCAATGTGACCCTGGAATCATTCGTATTGCCGCGAACAAAATTGGTTTCATCTTTACAATCTTCTTTATTGAACAAAGTCACTCCCTATTACCTCGAGTTGGATTTCCCTATCCTTATACTACCTTTCCAGTCTTTCTTCTTTCCCTTATCCGCTTTCACTGTTAGTTCCTTCGTGTAATCTTTTATTTTGGAAGGAAGACCTTTTCATGCCAGCGTGCGAGCATAATCAAGAGTAAAGAGCCGACTTTCAACTCAATACATGGTTGATGGATGCCAGGACAGAGAAACGATCTCACGGGCATTTTAGCGACTAATGATCCACATTTCACCTGTAAAGACAGAAGCTATACTGTTATGTATAAGATATACGCAGTACATGATGGATCAAAGCGTTTTTTTTTTGTGTATATCGGCCCGCTGTGCTGGGCAAATCCATCATAATACATAGATGCGAGAAGACGCGAGATTAACGTTACGCCAAATCGATAGATGGGAGCAACATGAAAGCCTTCCAAGCAGAAAGTACTTGTTCTCGGCATCACTTTCCACTCTACATTCAGCATACAAAATATAAAGAGCGAGGCCAAGAATAAGGGACAATATGAACGTTGGTGCTAAAAAAAGGGAGGCCGAAAGATAAGTGTTTACTGCTCGAAGCACCGATTATTCTGGGCAGGTTTTTTTTTGCGCCTCGACTTTAAGAAAGAGGGTTCGACGCCGCTGGCAGGCTTCAGCGTGTAGGTTCTGTCCGCACTTGTTCGCCGCGCTTGCTAGCAGCCGGAAGTAGCCCAGGACCTGCAGCGACCTTCAATAAGCTGGGCCCACGCATCACCTAGTTGAGACGAGCCGCGCCGCGTCTACTAGAATTAAGAAGGCTTGGCGTTTTTGCCGGACCGAGCTCAGGTTGTGTGTGCAGGAAATTTTCGCGTCTTTTGTCATTGTCGTCTGGTGGGGATGAGGCGGCACTGATGGAGACCGCGAAGAAGGAGTTATGCTTGTCTAGGGGCGACAGGATTGTCGCTTTGCCTGCAAAAACGATCAGTCCGGGCGAGATGGAGCGCGGTCTCGGTAGTAGAGGTCTCGGAACGGTCAGTGAGTGTGCTTCGAGATGCGCAGTGTAGTGCGCGGTCGATGGGGTCGTAGGGGATGGGCGTGAAGTGGGGTATGCGCGGTAGGGTGAGGATAGTGTGCCCGCGTCGTTGCTGTGGAAGTGAGTTCCAGTGTGTCGATCGGTCGGGTGTTGCGTGAGCTGTTGTCGCAGAAGATGCAGGTGGTAGGAGTGTGGCGCTGAGCTGTGTGTGGGAGATGTTGGCTGACAGCTACCCGGATGCGAAATGTCGATGTGTTGCTTTGAGCAATTATCGGGCGGGAGGGCGGTCCCGAGGGTGGGTATCGAGAGTGTAAGGTGTGACAGGAAACAGGCAGAGGGTGGAGTGTATGCTGCTTTGTCTCAGTGTCCTGGTTTTAATGCCTTTGTATCGAGGCGTGTTCCTTTCGTGGCTGTTAGCGCCGGGGGGGGGAGGGCACGCAGTTGCTCCGCACTGAGTAACCGGTGGAGTAGTGGATGACTGGAGGGAGTGTGGCCTAGGGTGTTACGTTGGTGTCGGAAACCGTAACTGGCCCTGAGGTGCGTTCTAGCAAGGCGACTTTAATTTCCGTCAATATAAGTAGAAGGAAGAAGCCGCGCATGCTAGTCTAAGAAGTCTCGCCTCAAAATTCTTGGATCTTGATGAGGAATAAGATGGTTTCCATCAGTTCGTCTCCACGGCTCGGCAGACTACAGCACACATGCTCAGACCTCAAGGGGCGTGGATAATGATGCGCTCTTTGCTAAGGCATGTGGGTCGACTGGCAGCCAGGCTGGCAACCGAGCCACTCGGTTGGCGTAGCATGATCATAGCTAGCATCCTCATTAGCCGTTAGGCTGCCCAGCGAGGTTGAGGAGGATTTGGTGGCTCAGCGAGACCGAACTTCAGGGAGAAAGCAGTGACTACGTTTGTGCATCTATCGCTGGGGTACTCTGGATACCTCTGTTGACTGGTATGGTTCCTCTTTAACGGCCGTAAAATGTGAGCTACAGTGGTATGGAGCATTCGGCTCGCTGGTGTTGTTTCGAAGGAGGAGAGCATTGGAGTGAGTAGTAGACTTTCTGGTGCGGCGCAGCGCTTAATTGCGGCTATTCTGTGTGAAGTGGACCGGTTCTCCTGAAAAGTTGAGGCATACCCAAAGGCTTAGCTATATGAGTACTTCTGAGGATCGGAATTTCTATGAAACGTTCACACGACGGAGACGTATGAAAGACACAATGTAGTAATATCAGCTTGCCATACACTGAGAAGAAAGTCATGCTGAGAAGACACAGTAGATGGCTGTTGCCCGTCCCCTCCATATTATCACATTCTGCAATCACATCAAAGGAAAGGATGAACCTGCTCTATCAGGGACTCTTTGGGCCTATGACTTAGCACGTGTCGGGATGCTGATGAAGGCAGCGCGGAGCGGAGTTGCCAGAGATTGTTCGGGAAGAGTTGTGTCTGTGAGAAGATAGTGCCGAACGGCAGAGGAGGGTTGGCCGGGGTGGAAGTGGTCTGACTATTCCTTCTCAAGATTGCCCGGGACTGCCCATGTGGTTCGGGGTACACGGATCTCTGGAACCTATTTAAAGTGGAAGTGCGTTGGGTCGCTCGCATCGAACGGGACCCGAAATGGCATGTCCCTTGCGGTTTCGTCCTAATGTCTTGCCCGCGCCAGCGTCGTTAGTGTGGATCCAGCAGGTTTTGAGCGTGTTATTGGGCTGCAGAGGTGTTGAGGCGGCGTGCGTGCGTGTGCGCAGCAGAATGGGTGCCGAGGGGAAGTATTGGTCTTTGCATAATCCTATTCAAAGAAGATCTCCAGCTCTCACAAGCAGATTTCGAGTAACTATAGGCTGTTGAGCCTTCAGAAAAGAACAAAACCTTATTAGGTTCGCAGCATGGCTTTAGGAGAGGCAGGTCAATACTGACTCAAATGCAGGAGTCAATGAATGATTGGACGATCGCACTGGATGATAAGAAGGAAGTACTCGTAATTTACTTCAAGTTCCGTAAAGCTTTCGATAAGGTTAATCACTCCAAGCTTTCGATGAAACTGGAGCATGTGGGTATCCATGATAAGATTGTCCGATGGGTTGAGTGATTTCTCAAACAGAGGACATTCCAAGTACTGCTTAATAGTCCATCTTCTGCTGTACGCTTGCGCCAAGTGGGGTTCCTCCTCAGATTGGTGTACCTCTCCCCCAAGTAATGTGGTTTATGCATTTCATACGCCGTTTTGGAGCTTGTGGCTCTACGGGTAGCTGCGATTAGACAATCGGGGAGGTCACCATGAACGGCATAATGCGTCCTGTAGCAATCACCTCCGGCTTCCTAAGAGACCTATATAGATTCAATATGTCAAGCTCATACGAGACCTGAGGTTTTTTGCCGAGTGATATTGAAAATTTTCTAGTAGGTCTCTAGAAGCCGGAACGTGATTGACTTACAAGGACGCTCATTGAATGCGTTGGCCATTTGGTCCTAGTCATGGGACTAAATCCAGTATATTAATAGAAAGCTGGTTTTGCCACTTAGGCTTCGCTCCGCATCAAACCTCGATTACAATATTTGACGCCTCGCAGCTCAAAAAGGTGAAGGAAGGAAGGGACTTAGGCTTCATCGTCGACGAAAAATTGACGTTCCATTCCCACTGCGTATCGTTAGCTAATAGAGCGGAGAATAGACTGTTACAGTTGTTGAGGAGCTTGCTTACTAAGGATCCATACTGTCCTATAGAGTACAAGTCTTATATTCGTCCGTTACTAGAGCATGGTTTTGTTGTATTCTTTCCTCATACTAAGAGGACCATTTCTAAACTGTAATCTTGCAACATAGTTTCGCAAGAAAGGTTAGTCTGGATGAAGCTCTTCGCGTTTCATTCACAGTTGAAATCCGATAGTTGCCCGTAAGAAAATGAAACGCTTGCGTTTTGATTCTCGCCTCCTATTTGGCCAGACCACGGAGGAACTAAGACTTCAATAACCGTGTTCAGATGTACCTACAGGAACGGTCTGTGTTAAATTGGCGTTGACAGACTCGCACCCTCTCTCCGTCCAACAAACTCGAGAAACAACAGGTTCAAGGCTATAAACATATCTGCATCAACATTGTGCTTGAGGGCTACTAGGAACCATTCTCGTTTCTACCTGCGTTGACTAACTGGAGTAAGCTGGTCCACGACGTTTCCACGCGTTACTTAACTTACTTTACCTTTTTATTTTCTTTATTTGAGCTGGCTTATGCAGCAATTATCCCATTGAGTTCTAAAGTTTTGCGAGGTTAATTTTGTCAGTCAGCTTTTTTTTGATTTCTTGTTGCTCATGTGAAGGTGGTGCATGCTATAAATGTATATAAATATAAAAAATGCAACAGTTATATTAAGATGATTCTAGTAAAGGAACAGAGAAGTTATCCAACTAGCAACGCGCGTGGCCCCGAAGTCAAGTCTGGGACCTGGTCACGCCTCAGGCTTTCTATCACTTCGTATTCAGTAAACTGGCAGTGGAGTCATCCTACTGCGAAGAAAGCACTGATTTTACGATCCACAGTTTTTTTCGAGAGTGGGTGCATTCTGAATGGTACCCTATGCCTTCAAAATTTCTCATTAAATCTAAATGTTTTCGTCATACCATTATTCCACACAATTCAGAGAACCACCGCTTTGCAACATTCTTTCTAAACCGCTGCAGTACTGTGACTGTGAAACCAGCTGAAAAAGTGGTGTGCGCATGCATTATGACTTATTGCGCGTCATCTATGATAGGTTAATGAAAAAGACGGTTATGATTGATGGTAATTGCTTGTACTTTCTTGGACAAGTGAACAGCGCTATAAGATCAAGTAGTCTAGTGATGGCAGGTGAAAAACTTTCGTAAATACAGATCAATTATTTTTAATGGATTTTCGCATCCATTTGAAGTGTAAACGTTGCCGGTTTACGGTAAGCCATTTGATAGATGAGCACTCGCGAAGTGTACACCATTAGAGGCAATGGTACACTATGTTTTTCTTGTACAAGAAAACAGAAATGGAGGATCTGAATTGTGGAAGTGAAGCAGGACCTGGACGGACAGATACACGTGCAATAGGGGGTGTAGGTTTACTCGAATGATCTTCACTTGTCGCCTCTCTCGCACTTCGGAAGACTCGCCTGTGGGGTCGCTCACTTAGTAATTGGTTGCTGGCTGACTTGTGACCTCTCGTCGACAGGCACGGAAGTATTGTTTTAGTTTTAGATGACCTTATAATTACTTTTCGCACCTCGGTATACTTGCCAGTAGGATAGCCCCGCTTAATTGGTTACGCTGACTGCTGACCTCTCATCAACTTACTAAGTTATTCGTCTGCGATACCGGGCGAAACGGATCATCTGTGCTTTGGAGTATTCCTTTCCCAATGTTTGTTTTTATTTGCTTCTAATTAAGTGAATAGATATACGTGAATAGATATACAGAATGGAATTTTCTCAAACGGTTGAGTATTCCGCAATACATAATTAGTTGTTTGTTGTGTGTGTGTGTGTGTGTGGTGTGTGCGTGCGTCTGTTTGACTGGAACTTCATGAATTCCTTTGATTCAGCCGTAGAGAGTTCAAATTGGTAAGTGATATAGGGTTGAAACAGGAACATGGATGATGGGTGGCAGGAAGTGATAACAGCTGACATGTGATCTCGAAAAGGGAAGGCCACCAAGTTAATAATGTGGGTTTCAGCATCGGTGGGACGTTAGTTCTATGATATGATGTAGTGTATGGGTCATGAATATCATTTATGGGTGGCAGGACGCGTTAAGAATTATTAAGATCCGATGAGGGGATTTGAAACTCAAGCGTTGCCCGTCACAGTATCAGTAGGAAGTTGGTTCCAAAGGGTGATAGAGGGGATGTGACGGGGTTATTACTGATGGGTCACAGAGAGGGATAACAACTGATAGGGGCTGATAAGAGGCGTTGCCCCCTTTTACACTACCAAAGCATAAAGGTTTTGGGGTAATGGTGACGGGTGACAAGGGATTATAAATTGATAGGAATAATTGAGAGGTTGGCTTATCTTCACCTAATTTTTTTACCACTATACTTCTAGCTTTAACGTATTTCAGGCCAAGTGTACATTGAACTAACTGCTTTACTGCGGTTCGAACGGGAGGGGGAAGGGTAGTTCGCGCTTGATGTCTTCAACAAAATCAAGAAAAAAATCAACGAAAAGTATACAGAAAGGAAAAAACACGTGGCCATAGTGTGCGCCAGCCAAACTGGTGTTTCAACAAACCATAATAAAGTTTTTTATTCAACTCTCGTTATTCTGTAGAAGTGGGTCTAGTAGTGAGAGGTCGGCAGTCAGCGTAACCAATCAAGCGGCGCTATCTCACTGGTGTGTAGGCGGAGGTGCGGAAAAGTACTTAATATATAAGGTCATCTTAAACTAAATGCGCACACCCGACATAGCAGCTCAGCCAGATACAGAATGTAAAGCAGAAGTCAAATAACTATAAATACATGAAATGTTAACAAAACTAGATGCTTTGATGAACTGAAAGTGTAAAGAACACATTAAACCGCAAGATAGAGCTGAACGCACACAACGTGAAATTGTGGAAAGTGCATGTACAGTGCAGTTCTCTGCGGACGGTGGGGCGGTCCTAAGGCCACGCTGGCTGGCGGCCCGATATGTGCCTGTTGGTCGAAAGCGGCAATAGCCTTGCCCCTGCGTCTCTGACACTGACTCTGCGCTCTAACGCACGCCGCCGCACAATCTACCCACTCTCCCGCTCTGGGCTCTCGCCGATCGATAATTGCTCCAGCAGCTGATTTTACGGCACTTTCGCAGTATTTTTTTCTACATTCAGCTAAAAAAGCTGCGAATTTTCGACTTTCGGCTTTAACCGTCAAAGGTGAGTATTTTTACTAAAATTGTATCACAATTTGCACGAATTTAGCTTGAAATTCCCTTAGAAAACATTTTTTCTTCTGATTTTTGCAATTCGTCCAAACTTTTCCTTATCGTCCCCAGTTTTTTTATGTTATTAACCGGCTTTTCGAAGTAGAGTCTCAGATGTGATCTCGTTATTATCGAGAACCATCTTTGACTCTGTTTTGAAGCTCGGAGAGCGCACACTTGCTACATAATTCACTCCAACATTACCAAAAAAGCGGTTCACTATTAGACAATGAGAACAAGACGCAGATTCGAGGACAGAATCCAAAAGGAAGAGAAACAAAAAATAGTCAGCAGAGACTCACAAAATTTCAGGAGATTTGGGAAAAGGGGACACAGAGTCAAAGATGGTTCTCGATAATAACGAGATCACATCTGAGACTCTTACTGTGTCGAAAAGCCGGTCAATCACCTGTCCCCCACAAATCCTATCCGCAGCCTCATCGTGGCGTGGGGGTGAACGGTTTTGGACTGTTCCAAAAACGTACCAATGCGGAGGGTGCCACGTCAGAGCCTGGCGAGCTACGCGTGGTTAATTTTCTTCTCGCCAAAAACAGTAACAACTATGGGCCTCATTCCCCTGAAGCTGAGGGAACCACCGACAGGGCGACGTCGGCTGGGACCGCTCGGACGAGGCTGCTAAAATCACAGGGCCAACGGAGATTTGAGTCGCCCAGGACTAGGATGACGATCTGTACTTTCAACGCACGGACGCTTGCATCGGAAGCTCACATCGAAGATCTGATGTTGCAAGCCAGGAAGATCAAGTACGACGTCATCGGACTGACCGAGACGAGGAGGCATCGCCCGCTACACGCCGTGTACGAGACTGGAGAAGAACTGTTCCTCGGAACATGCGACAGCAGAGGCGTTGGCGGTGTGGGCGTCCTCGTCAACACGCACTTGGCCATGAACATCGATTCGTACGAAAGTCTGACGACCCGAATCGGACGCTTGCGATTGAGAAGATGTGGTTCAACTCGCTTGACAAATCTTCGTCGGCCTACGCACAACATCAAGCTACGACAGGGATGAGCTCGAAGCGTTTTATATGGAATTGGAGAAGTTCTACAAGGAAGATCATACCTTCTTCAAGGTCATCGTCGGTGATTTCAACGCTAAGATCGGACCAAGAAGAACGGCTGAAGAACTTCACATCGGAACTCACG